AAGCAGATATGCCAGAAAGGAAGAAAGTTGTTCCATAGCTAGTGACTTAGGCAAGATATGGAAAGCACTATAAAATTTCAAGCATGTGTGTCCATGCTCTCTATTAATACAACAAACCCTATGAACCTCCTGCCCTGCTGTGTTGAGAATTGCTAGCAATGCCAATCTTAAGGCTCAGTTTTCAGCTACTGCCTTCTTTTGGGTCTCTGATAGCATGAGAACTTGTGCGTGGTGAACATGTGCATCGAGGCCTGTAGATTCACACGTTCTAAGTGCATACTATACTGCAGTCTTGAGTTCTGCACACTAGACCCCTTTTTGTTATGCAGGCATTGACAGGTAAATTATAAACACTTTGAAAGACACAAGGATGTTTTCCTGTGAGTGAAACCCCTAAAAGGAGTAGAATAAGTGATTTTCTCTAAAGTACCATCACAGAGTGCATTAGTCAGCAAAGGGAGTGCTATTAGAAATAGTGACAGAAAATAGATAGCTTATGAGAAAAGGAAATATGTTTAAGATCTCGCAACTAAAAAGGGATTTGCCTTCAGCTTAGTGAGAAGTACGAGATACTAAACATCAGATATGAGCTGAAGCCACAATAGAATCTGTTTGCATTTCTGGATTTGAATTTCAAAAAAAATTCCAGAGAGTTTGTGTCTACAGGCTTCTATCATCTTGTAAATGTGTGACACCTACATATAAACACAAGATCATAAATTGAACTAAAAAAATGCATTTAGGTAATGCAGCTGCACAAGATACTGTGCATCATCCAAGTTATGATATTTATTTCTGTATGGTAATGTAACTCATGTTGGATAGCCCTCTTTAATAGCAGGCTAAATTCAATTGAATTAAACTTGTAGTGGGCCTGTGAATTCATCCAGACAGTTACCATAGTTCAGCTGATTTGCAGTGACTTTAATTCCTTGCATCATCTGAACAAGTGTAAGCTTTTGTTTTGGGAAGGAGCAAGATTTTGGTTGCAGAAATCTCAGTGGAATTTTCACAGACTAACTGTATCTGGGCCCCTGTCTAGAAAAGGTAGACTTGTAATACATGTGGTACATGGTGGCTTTGGTTTATAAAAATGCAGCTGTAGAAATAACACTCATACTTTCTGATTAAAAGGGCCCAAATCTGCAAATCAGCTTCTGTTAGGCCTCTTACTGTGTAGGCTCCCTGACATTGCTTGTAGGCTTATTCCACATAAACAACTAATGTTACTCGAAATCAATCTTGTACTGCATAAAAGCTGTGCATTGAGCTGGCACCTATTTCTCTTGAAAGCATTTTAATTTCATTTTTGGACTGTGAGGAACTATGCTGATTGATCCAAACAGGCGAGCTTCTCAAAAATCCTGTTCTTGCCACAGTACAATGACTATAATCCCAGCATTGGATTTATCATGTTTTTCTTTGACCAGATATGTCAGTAATTTAGAGAGTTTTGCACTAACAAATTGCTTTAGGTTAATGTAAGGTACCTTGAAATCACTGGAGAGTTCATTGTGGAAAATACTTTGCAAAGCTGCATATCCTAAATGGCTGCACTCCAAAGTCTGGAATTCAAATCTCATTTACCGTAAATGACTGGCAACCAGATGATGTATAAGCTTTTTTTCACATACTTAATACAACATAGGGGGAAGGGGGCTGATTTTCCAATTCCCATGTAATATATGCAGGCTTATTCAAGAAATTAACCATAAATAAACTCATAGAATCATAGAATAGTTAGGGTTGAAAAGGACCCTCAGATCATTTAGTTTCAACCTCCCTTCCATGGGCAGGGACACCTCCCACTAAACCATGTCACCCAAGGCTCTGTTTAACATGGCCTTGAACACCACCAGGGATGGAGCATTCACAACCTCCCTGGGCAACCCATTCCAGTACCTCACCACCCTCACAGGAAAGAATTTCCTCCTTATATCCAGTCTAAGCTTCCCCCGTTTAAGTTTGAACCCGTTACCCGTTGTCCTATCACTACAGTCCCTAATGAAGAGTCCCTTCCCAGCATCCTTATAGGGCCCCCTTCAGATACTGGAAGGCTGCTATGAGGTCTCCATGCAGCCTTCTCTTCTCCAGGCTGAACAGCTCCAAGTTCCTCAGCCTGTCTTCATACAGGAGGTGCTCCAGTCCCCTGATCATCTTTGTGGCCCTCCTCTGGACTTGTTCCAAGAGTTCCATGTCCTTTTTATGTTGAGGACACCAGAACTGCACACAATGCTCCAGGTGAGGTCTCACAAGAGCAGAGTAGAGGGGCAGGATCACCTCCTTTGACCTGCTGGTCACGCTGCTTTTGACGCAGCCCGGGATATGGTTGGCTTTCTGGGCTGTGAGTGCACACTGAAGCCAGCTCATGTTCATTTTCTCATCAACCAGCACCCCCAAGTCCTTCTCCCCAGGGCTGCTCTGAATCTCTTCTCTGCCCAACCTGTAGCTGTGCCTGGGATTGCTCCGACCCAGGTGTAGGACCTTGCATTGGCATGGTTAAACTTCATGAGGTTGGCATCAGCCCACCTCACAAGCGTGTGAAGGTCCCTCTGGATGGCATTCCTTCCCTCCAGGGTATCAACCGAACCACACAGCTTGGTGTCATCGGCAAACGTCCTCAGGGTGCAGTCAATCCCACTGTCCATGTCAGCGACGAAGATGTTAAACAAGACCGATCCCAACACCGATCCCTGAGGGACACCACTCATTACAGGTCTCCAGCTGGACATTGGGCCATTGACCACAACTCTTTGCGTGCGGCCATCCAGCCAGTTCTTTATCCACCGAGTGGTCCATCCATCAAATTGATGTCTCTCCAATTTAGAGACAAGGATGTCGTGTGGGACAGTGTCAAGCGCTTTGCACAAGTCCAGGTAGATGACATCAACTGCTCTACCCCTGTCCATCAGTTCTGTAGCCCCATTATAGAAGGCCACCAAATTGCTCAGGCAGGATTTCCCCTTAGTGAGACTGACTGGTCTGTAATTCTCCGGGTCATCCATTTTCCCCTTCTTGAAAATGGGGTTATATTTCCCTTTTTCCAGTCATCAGGAACTTCACCTGACTGCTTGGGTTAACAGCCTCCTTCTTTCCTCTATGAGCTACAGGGGGCGCTTGAGGCCTCTTAACAGTTTGGGCCTGGAGCAAGCAGTCCAGCTTCCCTGACATCTCGCAGCCGATTGACAGCGTCCCACAGCTCAACCATCTGCTGCAGTACCCAAAAAAGTACTCAAAAAAAGAAATACCAAGTACCCCAAACAGAAATTTTGGGTCTAAATATGGGCTCTTATTTTCAAAACTCTATATTGACTTACATAAAATCTCATGTTTGAAGCTGTAATACCCTTCATTTAGCAAGATATGTTTTCAGTATACAATAAAAAATAGAGTAACTTCCATCCTAGCATAGATAATAAACAGCTATCATTATGAACATTGAGAGGAAGATTACTTTGCAGTAAAAGGAATTATTTTTATTGATTTGGTGGAGTTACTTATTCATCTGCTTCATCCCATAGCAGTCATCACCGCCACCATTCATGTGAAGGAGCTCTTTCCAGTTTCCGTCACAGAAGTTTCCATTCTGAGAGAAGGCGGCAAACAAAGTAGAGCAGAGTACAAATAATGTCCCTAAATATTAGCCAAGGACTTTAAGCAGGTCTTGCCAGAGACTCTGGACTAATCAGGCCACATAGTTCCCATTGCCATATCTAGTAGACTAAGTAACTTGGATCCTAGTTTTGGCTTTGCTACTGACTGGCTGGTGTAACCCTCAGCCAGACGTTTAATTCCTTTGTGGTTTTGTTTTCCCTATTACATGTAGCCTGTCTTGTCTGCTTGTAAGCATGCCTGGACAAGGATTGTCCCTCGTGGTGTCTGTATAATGCCAAGCCAGCAGGGCTTCAGTCTTGGCTGCAGCTTTGAGGTGCTACCTGGGTATGAAATTATTATCATGTTAGTACAGTTATCAATTATTCCAATTTATACTGCAGTGACAGTTTGCTTCATTGACTCTTAGTAGTGTGGATGAAATCAGAGTGGGTCCCCATCTATTCCTGCAGCGGGCATTGTTGAGCTATAGAAATAAAAATAACCGTAACAAAGAATGTGTTGGAGCCTTCTGAGAAATACTGGCACCATTTGAGTTGTTGTAACAACTCTTTCTTTGGGCTGAATTGGATTTGGGATAGAGATTGTAATGCTTTGAATGGAAGCCACAGTCTCTGCAAGACACCAAGTGAACTGTAGCAGGTTACATCACTTGGGTTAAACACCTCTTTTCACAACTGCTATGCTTGCTGGCATGCTCTGCAGAGATGTCACGGGCTGTATGTGCTTAGAGACTGAATTACCCAGTGTCTTTCCCAGCTCCCCTCTGAGCAGGAGTGGATTCCCACTACCTTTCGGTGGGAATGTAAAGGGTGTAGACATGAACTACGTATCTGTAGCTGATCTAGTAGTCTGACAAGGCTTTTTTAGCATCAGAAACACTCCAGACAATTTTCTGAATACAAAAAAAAAAAGTCATATAAATATTCCTGGAAATAATATGATTCTAATGTATTTAATTGGGTTTTAAATTAACTTTTTCAATATGCCTCTCAACTTTGTTGTACGTGTTGCTGTACATGTGGCTCCTTTCAGAGGCCCTGTGAAATCAGCCCTGCTGGGAGTCACTTGTACTGCTGCTACCCAGGGTGGCAACTGAGCATGAGACAATCTTTTTCGGCTGTGATCAGGAGGTGTTGTTCTATGTCCTGAGCCATGGAGAGGCAGAACTATTCACCAATATTGTATTTTAAAGTGCACCTTTGAGAGCTTTCAGAAAGGGGACAGGAATAATAAACCAATAAATTATGAATAAATAAAAGGAAAAAAATAAAAAGGAAAAAAAAAACCCACAACCTTAGATTAGGAAAAGCTAGGGCTGCTCAGTAGTAGGAGATTGTAAGGAGTGACTTTAGAGATTGAAGCAATGTCCATGATGCACTTTTTAACAGGGTGAGTGGTGAGCTATGCTGGCTGTAGAAGAAACAATTTCTCAACACTCCTGCAATAGGAACAGGACTGCAGGGAGCAGTTCAGCAGGTAAGAAAAACCACCTGATTTCAGAAGATTTGATTCCCTTGAAGGAAAGCTAAGCTTTGTTCTTGAAGAGTCAAGTGAAATCATGCTTGTAGCAAAAATTCTGTTCTCCTTTTGCATGCCTGCTGCTTGCTTAGGTTAATCAGCACCGTTATAATTATGAGGATCAGGAGCTGTGCAAACACATAGTTCTGTTTCACCCATGCTGAAGAATGCATAGTCCCACTAGCCGAAGAAATGTTGTTAATGGCTTGTCCTTAGATACTAGCAGAGCTGGGACTTGAACTTAATGTTTCTTGCATCCAATCTCAATATGTGAATCCTGACACCACTGCGGAGTTCACTTTAATTGTCTCCATGCAGAGAAAAGTGCTCTTCCAAAACTGGCTTTTTGTGTTATAAGAATCCTGGTAAAGTGTTAGAAGTACAGTACTCTAAATGCTCAAGATAAGTTAATGAAACAAGAGTAAAGAAAACTAACAGCAAGTTCAAATGACTCCTCCATGCTCAGCTACAACAGGTGCAATAGTCTCTTTTTCAGGACATGTTCTGGCTTGGACAAGTTTGGTGAGAATACATGTGCCTCTAATGTGTGTACATAGGTCCTAGTCCTTAAAAGGTTGTTGAGCAAAAGGTGTTCTGTATGGCTTGTTCTTTTAACTGTACGACATATTAAACGTCCTTTACATGCAATAGCTCCATAATCTCCTATCAGTACCAACCCTCTGATTTGTCAGTGCAGTTGTGGGTGGTTTAAATGAGCCACCTCTATGGAAAGGCTGGGGAAATTACAGACACCAAAGGTTTTGAAGAGGTGAGAAGAGTTAGTGGAATTGTACTTGATCAGCTTGAAAAAGAAGGAGCAAGTTCATGGCTCAAATCTTAAACAGGGGAAGTCTAGATTTGATGTAAGGAAGAAATTCTTTGCTGTGAGGGTGGTGAGGCACTGGAATGGGTTGCCCAGGGAATTTTTGAATGCTCCATCCCTGGCGGTGTTCAAGGCCAGGTTGGACAGAGCCTTGAATGACATGGTTTAATGTAAGGTGTCCCTGCTCATGGCAGGGCAGTTGTAACTAGATGATCTTAAGGTCCTTTTCAACCCTAACTATTCTCTGATTCTAAGTACGATGCTTTGCAGTTTGTTCCTGCTAGAAATAATTTGTTATCTGCATAGGGAGAATGTGCCACATCTGATCAGGAGGAGGGAGCTTTATAGTAACACAAAATACTGACCATGCTCGCATCAGTAGGGGGTTTGACTTTGAAGACTGCAGAGGTAAGGTATCATCTTGTTCTCCTGGCTGCCCTGCACTGGCTCACACTTAGAGTAGTATCCTAAAAGACACAAAGCTTTGTTGTCTCCCAGTATTCAAGAAAAAGAAAGAAGAAACCAACACAAAACGAAAAACCAAACCTCTGTGTCTCCCTCTGAGTGGAGTGAGTTCAAATGTATGACTTGCAAGACAGCAAAATCTCTTCTTTTCCATTCTGTGGAATTGATTCGTGTATGGACCCTGGGAAGGACTTGATGAAAGCAAATGCTGAAGCACATATCCTCTGTGACAGGGGCAGAGAACGAAGAGGGAGTGCTGAGCACTGGAACATGCTGTGAGTTCATAGCAAGAACTGAGTTTTCACTGCCTGTTCCTGCTGGCCACAAGTACTACAGCATTTTCCTAATGACTGTCCGTGAGCTGAGGAAAATGTACTGTCCTGTCTGTTAGGAGCACATTCACACTTACTCTATTGAATAATTTGTCCTTAATCACTCTTTTCCATATGACTATAATTTTATTTTTAAGTAAGTCGTATTTTTCCTTCAGTATTGCAATCAAAGATTTCACCTCAGGTCTTAATTTTGCATTTGTTATTGATGTGTCATCCCACAAAATTAAATGAGGGTTCATGATTGCTCTACCTTCTTGAGTAGCTCAGATCCTACATATTAAATGAATTATAATGATCAGCTTGGCATGTTTCCTAAAACAGTTACCGTGCACTTTTGATAAGAACAGTTGTAATATGGGGAGTCACGGATTTTTACCTGAATAACAGATTCTTCAGGGCACCTCTTGGGAATATGTAAAATCAGCAAGTCTAAGATAATGCTAAGTCTTTCACACTTTTACAAATGGCAACTTTTGCAAAGTATAAGGCAATTCCTGCCACTGAAACATGTATTTATACTTGAAGATGTTCCGCAGTGACATGGAGAATTAAATCTCTTTTGGATTATATTGACTTAAATGGAATGAATTCAGCTAAAGAATGTAGACTTCAACTTGTTCCATAAAGGTCTGAAACACCTTGAAGCACACCATGAAATCCAGCAGCTAGTCATAAGGCTTTCTCATTAACTCACCTGTGTGTAACTGCTGATGACCAGAGTCTATGATTACCTGCTTGCTTATGATGTTCTCCATTTTGACTCTTCTTGGAGATACATCCAAAATAGTTCTTTGGGATGGGATCGTCTCTGTGTTCTATGTTTGTACAGCACCTAGAATAATTATTTCCTGACTGGATCTCTAAGGAGCTCCTAGCATATAAATAAAGAGGGTGGAGGAAAGAAAAGATTGCTTTGTTGGTTGATTTAGCATGGCCTTCAATGAAAACATACGCTAATGAGACTTGGGCAGAAATTTGGTTCTGTTAATTTCCAAATGTGCCAGGACAGACTGTTTAGGGCTTGCAGTGCAAATTACTGAGCACATTTAGAATCTGCAGAGGTTGCTCAATACCAAACACAGGTTCTTTTAATGAAACTGTTGCACTTTAGACATTGGCAGCTTGGAGTTCTCTGAAATAGCAAACGTTTTGGAAGAGACATTGTCGGCTTTTGCAACAGTCGGCTCTTTGGAAACATTCCCCTTGAATAATGTTAAAGCAATTCCAGTTTCTGTAATTTAACTCATCCCTATCATCAGCACCAATAAATGAAACCTCTACAGATTCCAGGCTCACCAGAACCTTGCCAAGAGCTGGCATTATATTCTGAGCCAAGTAACTTCTTATGAACGAGTATTGAGCTCAACAAGCGTGCACGTTCTTGCAGGGTGTTTGTGTGTGTGCCTATCTGGCACCAGCATTGAAGAGCTTTAGGGTCTGCTGTTACATTCACAATTATATCTATTGGAATTGCTACCAAAATTGCACTTGCATATAAAATCATACAGCACCTTAGAGGTTACCCAGTGTGGTCTATTAACATATTAAAGAGACCTGGAATTATTTTGTTTTATAGCTTAAAGGTTGTGAAAGTACTAGGAAAGTGATGGTTATTGTATTCTTTCAGCCTCTGCATCTGCACCATGTTTTGCAGTGATACTGTGTACCCTCAGAAGAATCATGTTCCTGTTGCTTGCACATCAGAAAATTTGAGTGTGAGGAGAATTATGGTTTTCTGAGAACCTCAGGCTTTGCTGCATTTCTATAGGAGTAATTTGTGTACTATGGCAGTGGCAGGAGTGAAAGGCTAGGCACTCGGTATAAGTTTAATCAAAGCAAGTTCAGATGCATCATGCATTGTCTGGTTCCAACACTTGAGGACACAATGGTAAGAAAGAGTTAGCTTCATTGCAGAAAAGGGATATTAGGGCAGTCAGAATACCAGGGCCTCTAACTTCTTCCTCTTCCAGCCTCTCTCAGGTATACTTCCACTGTATTTGTGCCAGGAGAAACTGTTGCGAGGTGTGACAGAAAATAAGCCTCTTCTGTCCTTTCAGTCTCATGTGAAAATTATGCAGTAGTTTTGATACAGCTTTTCATATAGCACGGTTTATGGGTAATAGGTCCCATTAGCTTTTGTTGCTTTTGAACACAGACCGTCATAAACTTTTTGCTCTTTCCCTTTTTTATGAAACTGGGTTTCTTCATTCCCCACTCCGGCAGAGCTCCCACAGGAGGGTGATGAAACTTCCAGTCTTTCCCGAAACCTTGCTTCTGCAGTTCTCCTAGGGCCAGATGCTTGCTGACCTACCGAGTATGAGAAATGTAGAGAAATACTTGGTGTCTCTGATCTGTTTGCTTTGGGTAATGGAAGATGATATTTTATTACCTCTAAATTTAACCCCTTTGTCCTTTTTTTTTGTAGCAACCAAGAATTTTGTCTTTTTTCCCTATTGCAATCTGGGCAAGACATTAATTTTATTGTTCTCACTATGATTTCCAGAGAAATAAGCTCTTGCAGCCCCCTGCTTTGGCTTGGGCTCCTTCAACTGAATCTTGTACTTTCACTAAACTTCTGTGTTCCTATGGCAGACTTCCTATGCCTTTTTCAATCCCATAGCTATTTCCAAAATAAGTTTCACCTGCATTACAACATGGTATGAGATGCTTTTAGCTTTCCTTTCTGATGGAGGATACACCTTAGATATACTCTATAAAACGAGTGTATTTTACTTGTTTACTCTTAGTGCTTTTTCATTCTCGTAATTGAAACCTGCTGGCTTTTGCACCAGTATCCAACTTAAAAGTAGTACATGTGCCATCTGCTTTCATGCTTATAGCACATTCGTCTTCTGTAGCAGAGCTGTCTACTGGCCCTATGCTTGTGCCCGCTCTGCTGGCAAGTACAAGCTTTTCAAGTGACACCATTCCTCGTCTGGCCTTTTCCTGGCCTATGCTTGTGTTTGTGCCTGCAGTCCAAACACACACCCGAAGGGCTGTTCTTCCTCACTGTCCTGCAAAGTCTTTAAGGACTCTTGCCACATCCTGAGTGGCACCCTCCTGTCCAGTTCATAACTTTAGCCTGGGCTGGAGGGCTAGTGTCTGTCAAAATGTGATAGTGTACTCAGAGTTAATTTGGGGTCCTTTTGTTCTTCCTCTCTGAGTGTCTTCCTAGATCCCAGTTATGTGCTCCTCTCTTACCAGGTATTGAGACTCACTGTTCAGCTTTAGCTGAAGATGGCTTTTCTACTTCTTTGATCGTTTTGTTTAAAACCAGGGCTTTTTTTATGTTTCATTTGTGTGCAGCATGCAATATGCAGATGTCTGTAATCCCA